ACACACACACACACACACACACACACACACACACACACACACACACCTATATCATCACCCTAGTCATCATCACAGGAGCTGACTGTTCCAGGTGTGTGGCACCTGTAGGTGTGCTCTGGATCACTCAGTACTCACAGGTATATGAGATGGTGTTGTCGTTGCCTCCAACACAACAGATGGGGAAAGAGATTTGGTGGTTAAGTGACTTAGTCAATGATCCACATAGACACAGCAGAGGAACCAGAGCTCAGAGTCATCTGGCTAAAGTCTTTGGTGTCTCCATCCCTGGACTGAGTCTGCACTCAGCAGACGAGCAGAGCTGGCTTTCACTGGTATGTTCCTGTCCTTCTTCTAGAGTTCAGTTTCCTGTGCCTGGTTCCTACCACTGTCCCAACACAGGACTCTGCTTTGTGGTGACAAGGGCAGTGTCCATCGATATTGGATTCTGTACCTGGACCCAACACCTGGAAAAGACTCCCTTGAAGCACACTCACATAGTGGCTGGACCTTTGTTTGCCATCAAAGCTGAGCAGGGAGCTGTGGCTGCTGTGTACCTTCCTCACTTTGTAGCTCTTCCAGGTAATCAAGGGAAGCATAAGGAGCAGGGTGGTACTATTGGGAGGACTTGATAGGTCACATAGCAGACTATAGGATGATGGTGATGAGGGAAGGTCTCATGGCTTCCTTAGTGATACAGAGTGGGCTATAGAGGTGATACTGAGATGTTTTCTATACCTTCTTGTCTGATGTAAATTCTTTGAAGTATGTGTTCCCCAGCATTAGGAATTTATTTCTGTTTTACCTAAAAGAGTTCTGTAAGTGGAAAGTGATGTCTCAGTAGCAATATTAAGTGCATTTATTAAGATCTTTTTATACACCAAAGCTCTCTTGAAATCAGCAGGAAACCAAGAATAAACTGAGCAATGAGAAGAGTTTGTTGAAAATGATGACTAAGAAAACTGTAAGGATCATTTGGTACCCAAGGTCTACCAATACTGTCAGGCATTATACTGCTCTAGGATGAGAAATGACGTCATCAGATACCATTGGGATACTGGAGTCAAAAAGAAGAGCTTCTTAAGAAAGAGGGAGGGATCATAAAATGTTCCAGCCTCAGTCATCTATAAAAATACTTCCAGTAGTTATTTTAACAAATACGATGTTTCCAGAGAAAGATCTCTTAAAGAAAACCATTAGTACACCTCTCTCCATGCTGGTGGGGGCGGTGTTAAGAATTCAAGAGTAGGATATTCTGAACACTCAGGCTGCCTAAAAAGAGGAAAAGCAACAACAGCAAGGAACCAGGGGTTGTACAACTGGCGACTGAGACTGACTTCCTCTCCTACTTCAAGGAGAACAGGAAAAAGCCCACCATAGATACCAGAAGAATCCAGCTCATAGGAGATGAAGATGATGTGTGTTCATGGTATAAAGGTGCAGAGCAGCCATAGAGGTGAGACCTAAAAGCTGAAGAAGTCATGTGAGGTGAAACAGAAACATGGGCTGCTCCAGCAGTTGAAGAACAATGAATAGAAAACAAGTTTAATCCTCTGGGTTAAAGATATTCATATTTAATGCAAGCACACAAGAAGAAGAAAATGAAGATGAAGAAGCCAAGCAGGACTCAGTTGTAAAATCTTACAAAACAAGTAAAATTAATAGTGACATCCACAAACACTCGAGGCCCTGAGCTCCTGACACTGACCCAGGAGCACTGCTCCCCAGATGGTGCCTTCCTAGTTTGTCTAATAAGGCCAACCCTAGCAGCTCCACGCAGATTTCCAGGTCTCCCCAACAACACTTGCCCCAGTCACCACTCAAGCTTCTTCCCTGCAGGTCACTGCCTTTCCTGTTTCTCACTCCCACTATCAGATGAGGCAGTTGCCCCAGTGGAATATTTAAAGGAGATTATAATGTTACAGTGCAAGGAAGCAGCAATACATTTAGGAAGGACAGCCACAGGGCCAGATGGTGGCACAGACATGCAATTCCACAATTCAGGAGGCTAAAGCAGAATAAGTATGACTTATATCCACAAATTTGTAGTAGGACCCTTTGTTAAAACCCTAAAATGAGAATAGAAATGAAAGAATTTGGTAAGTCGTCTTAAATGCCTCAGTAAAGTTCCAATATTAGCAAAGAAAATCAGGCACCACGTAGTCCCATCAGGTCTTAGGAAGGTAATGAATATCATTTACTCCTGCAAGAAGGGAGTCAGGCAGTTTCAAAGGTCTCTAAAACCTTTAGTAATTCCAACAGTTTTAAAATCCATAAAGACCACCACTTATCTGAGATTTAAAGTAATGTCTTCACTACAAGCTGCCTTTAAATGAATTTCAATCTTCACAAGGTGATCTTTGGAAGAGTGATGCTGATCTCCAACAATTGCAGCTGATTTTTTGAATCAGGGTGAATGTTTACTGTCTTAAATGTCTTCCTACCAAATTAATCTTTCAATTGAACTTCAATCACATTCAGGGCATGTACTCAATGAAAGCAGATTCTTAGGCAAACTGTCACAGGAATGGATCCTTTTACAGTTCCCAATAGAAACCTTGGTACTCTCTGAAACCTCATGAACAGTATTCGTGTCTGACCTCTTTCCACCAGAATGTCCCAATAGTCTTCTCAGCTTTTGTAGTCTGAAGTAAAAACTCTTGCACACTCTAGCCACAAAACACACCCAAATGCCTAAGAACCATATGATTAGGTTTAGTATAGAAATGACCCAACTGCTAGTGCCAATTTTCTAGCCAGTTTCATGTCTTGTAGCTCAACCAAAAATATCTGACCAAAGAAACTTAGAGAAAAGATTTATTTTGCCTCACATTTAAAAGAAATAGTTCATCCTACCCAGTCTGAGAACATGGAGCTTGCAGTGCCTGGTACACTTGTGTCAACAGAGGGAGCAGAGAACAGTGAATGCTTGTGCTCCTGTGACGTTCTCCATATTACACAGTTCTGGAACCTAGTTCTTGGATTTCACAAAAGTAGGCCCTCCAAATCAACATTTCCTGATCAAGATAATCTCCTTCTATCATGCCCTAAGGCCTGTAACCAAGGTGATTCTAGATTTTATCAACTCACATTTTATGTTAACCAATTCAGGGATCTATCCAGCAATGTCTTCAGTGAACAAAAGTAGGTACCATCAGGTTGCTTTTATAACATCAAGCTCCAGCCTGAAACAAGTATATTAGTAGACACTGCCAACCCCAAGACACCAAGGCTGGTGATAGCAGCACCTCAGAGAACCTACTCATTCTCCAGTTTCTCAAGAATCCACTCCACTGTGAATGCTCTGCCAGCAGCTACCCAGGGCCACAGCCAAGACTGATCCAGTGAGGGAGTCAGCATGAATGACCTCTAGTAGAAAGTCAGATTCAACTTCCTGGCATGGGGAATCAATACTATGAAAAGGTTTCATTGTTCTGATATGTTCTTACTTAGGATCAATTAATAAAACCATATTTTTAGTTCATAGTTTTTCTCATAAACATCAAAAATTAGTAAAAGCTAAAAGATATCATGACCAAGGAACTTGTAGAAGAAATATTTTATTGGGACTTGCAGAATCAGAGGGTGAGTCCAAGACCATCACTGCATCAAGCATGGTAGAAAGCAGAAAGGCTTGGCACTGGAGCAGCAGCTGAAAGTTTACATGTTTAACTTCAGGGAGTAGAGAGAAAGGAACATGGAAGTAGAAAAGGCTTTTGAAACCTCTAAGTCCATCCCAGTAACACACCTCCTCCAACAAGGTCACACCTCTTACTCCTTCCCAAATTGTCGCACCAACTATGGTGGCCATTTCATTCCACAGTCAATCTAAATCCTGGGATGCTGTTTTTCCAACCAAGCACCGCTCAATGGAAATGATAAATCTACATTTTTGAAAATTTTTATTCACAGAGGAACAAATGGACATCTTCTTGTTCCGTGTGGCCCACTTTCAAGAACATGGGATCGTCCTAGAAATTCCAGCCAGGGTGGAGCAGCACTACGCAGTACTGAAAAGCCCAAGCTTCTCCCCAGTGGGAGTTCCAGTGAGAATGATCCCTGCTTTTGGACACTTCATCCCCATCACTTCCATCACACTGATCTACTATCATCTCAATCTCAACGAACTCACCCTTCATCTCTACCTGATCCCCAATGACTGCACCATCCGGAAGGTGACACTGAGAACCCCAATGGTGGGTGGGGCCATGGTGGGGTGACAGAAAAATTGAGACACAGAATATAAACCCCTTGGAGAGATTCTCCGCTGGTGATGCAGTTCTATACGGAGAACTCTGGTGTTTATGATTCTGCACTCTTCTTGGCCCCTTACAACAGAGCCTCTCTCCACTGCCTTAAATGCCCCTTTATCTCTGCACAGCCTTCTGTGGCCCCTTTCCACCCATCAGAAGGATGGCAATTCTCCACATTCAACATTTAGCCAAACCCCTTCCTCTATGGCAGGGACCCTGAAATGAATATGACAGGGGCCAATAATTGAACAGTGTGTGGCAGAACACAAGGCAGAAGACTGCCGGGTGATGTCACCTGATCCCACCTCCGACACTGATCCACCACCTCACCTTATTCACCCCAGATAGCTGTTGTAGATCAGAAATCTACCTAATCGCTATCTGCAATGTTCCCTAGGCTATTGATGAAGAAGAAATGAAGTTTCAGTTTGTTCGAATAAATAAGCCACCCCCAGTAGACTCTCTTTACATCGGCTCACGCTACATTGTGTCTGCATCCAAGAAGCTGGAAATCATCCCAAAGGTAAGAATCCAGATATTTACTGCTCTTCAGGGTCAGATAGCAGGCTTGGGAAACCTGTGGGCTATACATCAAACTGAGATTGGGGAGAAAACTATTGGGATTTGGGATGAGTAAGAATACATCCTAGTTAGCTGGAAAACAATCTAAGGGACTACACAGGAATACAGCAGGCCTGGGGAATTGAGGGATTGCATTCAATATGGCATGGAGAAGGGGTCAGCCTAACGTGGACAGCAAGCCCTGGCTTAAGATGTATGAGCCGACTTTTCAGGATGACATCTCAGTTGTTATGGTTTAAATCAAAAATGCCTCCTACAGGTGTAACCATTTCAACACTTGATCCCTAGTTAATGCTAATATTTGGGGAGTTGTGGCAAGCCATGAGGGTTGTATCCATGCCTTGCCCCCACATCTACTAGCTGATTGCTGATCCTCTGGGATATAACAAGCTGTGCCACAAAATGCTGCCACCAAGAATGGAGCCCCAGCTTCTATATGTTCCTCCTAATGAAACTAAACAACAATATAAACCCTTACTTATGTTGCTTCCTGTCACATTTTTGTCAGAGTCATCAGGAAAGAAACATCATGATGAGAGTCCAAATTGAGTCGATTAACATTCTCAGTATCTTCATTGCTACATTCTTTCTATGTCCTCTTCACAATGTTCCAACCTTCTGAGTAAAGATTGCATTCAAAGGCTGTGGGTTACATCAGTGCAAAAGATACCTGGTGTTTAATGTGGTTTGCAAGAGCAAGAAAGTATGGGGGAGTGGAAATCACTGTTCACATGAGAGGAGAGAGGTTTCTCACAATGCCTCTCTATCCCTCTCTCGTTCCCCCTCTCTCTCTTCAGGAACTGGAGTTGTGCTACAGGAGCCCCGGGGAATGCCAGCTCTTCTCAGAGATTCACGTTGGCCACATGGGTTCAGGGATTAAGCTGCAAATCAGAGACAAGAAGAATAAGAATCTCATATGGGAAGCCTTGTTGAAACCAGGTAAATTTTTTCAAGTCCAGATACTCCAAAGGTTGAAGAAAGGCAATGAGTAGGGAGAGGTGTATTGTCAATAGTTCTTGGTGTCTTGAAATGATTAGTTATGTGGCTTTTACTAGATCCCAAACAGGTGGTTAGAGTTAGAGTGAGAACAAGCTGGGAGAAGAGGAGAAGGAAAATTTGAAGGGAAGGAAAGGGAAGGAAAGGAGAACAGAAGAGGGGGAGGGGCAGGGAAGAGGGGGGAGAGAAGAGAGGAGGGGGAGAAAGAAGAGGCAGGAAGCCCATAAAAGATGCTCCTTATAGGACAGGCCACCTGTGACTCTATGCCTCCGATTGTGCGCTCTCATGTGGTTTCCAATAGTGTTCTCGGGACTCAAGCATGATGAGTGAACAAATTTCTTTCCCACAGTAATAAACTTTGCTTTGTGTCTCTCAGAGCTTAACTAGGGCCATCTGTGTTCCTGTGTGTTTGAACTACCCAGCAAAAAGGAATGAGTTTACCAGTGGATACAGATGGAGTGCATACATCCCTTTCTCCCATAATCTATTATTTGCCAATATTTAAGCAGCACTGTCCCTGTGAGCTGCTTCCCCGTGTCTAGCTGACTGATGCACAGACCCTACTTGTGTGCGTCAGGGACACTAAGTGCAGGTGCTATGAGACATGTTATGCTTAGAAGAGACCACTTCACAACCTCTTCTCCATATCTTCACAAACCTTCCCAATGTCTTCTGTCCGTACGTTCTTCGAATTTCTCTTCCACAACAATCTTAGAACCTTAAGGTGTGGTGTAAATAACTACTTATAGGGATGAGTACTCAACCATCTCAGGAACCTGCACAGACACAGGTGTCTGCATTCACCTCCATCCACAGCAGCGAGAGGCTTCCTGGATAAGGCTTAAAAGATCCTTTGTCTATGGTATAAACATAGATATGTAGATGGGCATTGACACTATGTCCATTTATCTAAGTAGCAATAGTAGCCTCTCTCAAGGGCCTAAGGCATCCAAAGGCCTGGGTTTGTTTGTATTTTCAGTTTAAAATGCTAGGGGTGGATTCTATTTGTGGGTGGCCCAGAAGTGTAATCAGGGAGCTACTGGTTGCTCCCATCACTCTTGTGCCACTATTGCAGCAATGGGACCATCTTTCCTGGCAATTGATGCCTTTTCTTCTTCAGCAGCCTGCTTAACATCATCTATAAAGCATCACACTATAAAGCATCACAATGAAGTTTCAAACTCAGTTCCAGCTTGATTTCTCTAAACCACATAGTCAACATTTGTAGTGTCTTTGGCAATAAGTTCTTATTCACTAGCTCTGATGTGGAGCCAAGAAAAATGAAATGCACCTGTATTGTCATGGGAACCTCCAGGGCCTCCCTGCCCAATGGTTCCTATGGAGATACCCCAACCTGGAATTCCGTTTTGTTTTTGAAACTCATTACTTCTAAGACCTCCCATTTCAATCCTGATAGGGTGTCTTGTATTCAACTCTTTTATGATTTTTGTATTGGTGTCAATGTGACTTTTAAATACTGTCTTCATTTTCAGTAACCCATCCCATCTGCCCCCCATAGCCTCCATCTCCCACCCCTCTTACTGTTTGACCATTTCTGCTCCAAGTATTCCCTCTCTACCCTCATTTCACCAATAAGCTACTCCCCTCCTTTCCTTCCTAAATCACTGCCCCATTTCTATTTTTCTAGTTTCCAGGGATATACCGACTTCATAGAACTAAAGGCTCCAGAATAGAAACTGCATGTGAGAGATGCTGTGTCTTTCCTTTGGGGTCTGGCTTATCTTCCTATTGTATACTTTACTTTCATAAAGCCATTTACTTCACCCCTGAAAAACTCCAAGGTATATATGAGCCACACTCCATTACTGAATTAACTGTAAAGGGCCATCTAGGATTCTTGCATTTCCCAGATATTGTGAACAGAACTTCAGGAAACATGGCTTTGAAAATGTCTCCATAGTAGAATATGTATTTCTTTAGATATATTACCAGGAGTAGTAAGGTTGGTTTATATGGTAGTTCTACTTCTAGTTCTTAAGAAGCCTCCAGATTGCTTTAGACAGAGGCTGCACTAGTTTGCACTCCCACAGGCAGTGTGTAAGTGTTAGCTATCTCCACATACACTCCAGCATTCATTATCATTTAAATCCTTAATATTGGACATTCTCACGGCATGAGAATGGGAATCATATGTAATTTCAAGCTGTATTGACATAATAGCTAAGTGTTTCCTACCTTTGTGTATTTCCTCCTTTAAGAATCCTGTTGTTATTCCTATGACAAACCTCAAAACTGTGCTGTTTTCTTCTTGTTTATGTTTTCAGTTCCATACATTTTCCTGTTACTAATCTGTCAAATTTTAACTGGGAAGTAGTTTCTTCCATTCTTGGCTGCATCTTCACTCAATTAAGTTTCCTTTGATACTCAGAACTTCTCTTTTAGTGTCTTGAGATCCAATTTATCAATTATTAGATCTAATTCCTAGGCTACCAGAGTCTTAGTCACACAATTGTGACTTGTGCTGCTGTGTTGAAATGCTCTCCCTAATCTTCCTCTACAAGTTTCAGGGTATTAAGGTCTTTGATCATTTAGAGTTGACTTTTTAAAGTGAGAGGTAGGCATATAGTTTAATTCTTCCACACAGTGCTATCTAGTTTTTCATTTGTTTAACAGGCTGTCTTTCCTGTTCTTTGTCAAAGACCAGGTAGCTGTCTATGGTCGTGTGGACTTTTATCTGGGTTGCTATTATATTTTATTGATCTGCACATCTTTTTCTGCCAATACCATACTACTTTTACTATTATGACTATAGCATTGATTTGAAATCAGGTGTGATGAAGCTTTCTACAAAATTGTTTTTGTTCAGAATTACCATGGACATCCTATGTCTCTAGTGGTTCCACATGTATTTCAGCATTTCCCCCACACTATTTGTGAAGACTGTCCCTAGCATGTTGACTGGGACTGCATTGAGGGTATAGTGGGCTTTTAAGAATAAGAATACTAATTCTTACAAACAATGAGCCTCAGGAATGTCCTTTCATCTTCTAAGGCCCTCCTTAATTACTTCCATATATATGATTTTTCTTAAAGAGTGTTTCCATTTCTGTGGTTAGGTTTTCTGTCCCAAAATTTTGGATTTTTATTTCTTTATTGGCTATTGTAACTCATCAATATTTTCAAGCTGACATGGACAAGAGAAAACCAAATAGTGACATTTCTTTAATGAAATAAGAGAACAGTCTTAGTTCAATGCTCACAATTCTAAAACCAAGCTCCTCTAATCAGTACATCTGGGGATGCCCAGCTCTTGTCATCTGTCAAATAGTTATTGTCCCTGCTTCTGAGCTGCTAGAAACAGTCTAAATATGTGATAAAATAATAGGCTTTGCTCAGCCTTGGCTTGGGTGAGCCACCGGTGGAGAACTGAGCTGCCCCAACATCAGGCCAGGGTTTGAATCTCACTCCAGCACTTGCTCTTCAGACAATCTTGAAAAAATGACTTAACTCATTTGAGTCTGAGCTTCCTCACCTGTAAACTGAAGATCAGAATGGGTAACTGATAGGATGATTGGAAAGGTTAAATACTGTTAATACAGATCTCATAGTGTGATCCTTAGCTGATGGGAGCAATGTTGATGTTATTCTTTATTAAGCCAACATCTTTGTCATGATTTTTTAAATTCTGTTCTATGGGACTCATTAAGCTCTCCTCCCTCTCCTGTGGAAAAGTATTCAAATACTGGAAGATGATAATCATGCCCCCTCTTGTGTCCCAACTCTTACATCTTGGTTTTAAAATTCATTATACTCAATCACTTTCTTGATGAGATGCTCCAGTTTATCTGCACATCACGATGTGTCAAGATGGAATATCATCCTTCCTTCATACGAATGGAACCAGGGCTTCCAGTACTACAAACTGGGTCCTTGAGATGAATTCCCTAAACTGCTAGAGCACAGTGAATTTGGGGTTTTCTTAAATATTTGGAGCTTATTCATGAGCTGAAATTTATTAACCTCCTTCACTTGAAGCTAAAATTTGCTCATTGTTCATATGCTTAGTCTTGTTTCATCTTGATTCTGCAACAAATCAAGAACATTTGTGGCATGTGAGAGTTCAAGGGCAAATGAGAAAAAAAAAAAAAGTTTTCTACCCAGGATCAAATGTCAAATGATATAAGCCAGCATGGGACTTGGTTAATTCTCCATAGAGACTTCAATCTAGGATGAAAATGATGCTGAGATCATATGGGAGAAAGAGCTATTGCTGATTCTTATGTCTTCTCTAGCAATGAGGATACACCTGGTGCCTCAATTCCCTGTGTGAGTAAGGAAATGTTCACCTTCCAGACTATGTTAGAATCTCTGTAGCTCATTTTCAAAATCTCAGGCATGGATGGGAGAGTCACAGAGAGCATTGAGTGTTGGTGACAGGCATCATTACAGTTGCACCATTTCTCTTTTCTTCCAGGGGACCTCAGACCTGCTCCATCCATGATCGCTGAAGCACTCAAAGGTAACTAACATCTATATGAGGCCAGGCAGGCCAATAGTATTCTGCTGGTAGATCATCTGATCCTTGAGGGAAGGGCAGTGGGAAAGGAGGGAACCTAACTTTGCAGATCTCATCAGGACAGGCAGGAGACATGCATGGCCAGGGCAGAGTTCCTCTCATGCCCCTTGCTGCTTCCCATGGAGACAACAACTCCACACACTTCCAAACTGACCACCCAACCATGAACCCTTCTTCCTGGTTTGGTAGAGTGTCAGACAAATAACAGGCCTCAGGAAAGGCACAGAATTTTTTTTCAAATGACTCTCCAGAGCCAGCATTGCAGATGAAGTTTCTGAAAAAAAAAAAAAATAGAAGTGGGCAGTCAGTGTGAGAGCCCATGGAATTGCCTTGCTTTGCTCAGTGCCAGTGTCTTCACCCCTAGATGCTGCTGCCAGGATACATTTTGTGGACAACCATCGGGAGCAGTTGGTAGCCCGAGTGACATCAGTGGACCCTCTTTTGGACAGGCTGTATAATCTGGTGCTGAGTGAAGAGGAGTATGAGGCAGTGCGGGCTGAGGCCACCAACCAAGGCAAGATGCGGAAACTCTTCAGCCTCAGCAGGTCCTGGGACTGGGACAGCAAAGACCAAGTCTACCAAGCTCTGAAGGAAACCCATCCTCACCTGATTATGGACCTCTATGAGAAGTCAGGAGGTGTCCCTGTAAGATCCTGATGTCATAGTGGCTGAGGGGTGAGCACTCAAATATTCCTGGCTCTGCCTGACTTTCCTTTGTCCCTAAATTTCTCTACCTATAACCTACCGGCCATCTGAGTTGCTTTTCTGATAGCACTGTTTAAGGGACACCTCTTAGGGACCCAGATATTCCATCTTAGCCTCACCCAGCCAGATGTTTAGGTGAGATGAGCATCTCAATAAACTTTCAGTGGAGCCAGCAAGTTTATTCAGGCCTTGTCCAACCTTTACTTATGGCCTGAGTGGCCCAGCTTATGCCCACGTGATCCACCATGGTACAAGCAGGACTGGGGAGAATGGAATGGAGATAACAAGAAAATACTTTCCCTGGGAACTGATTATCTTATGAATAGGAAAGGAAAGGAGCTTCTCAAACTTTTCCACCGTCTGTGTGGGTTTTCTTTGTTGATTCTAATTATACTTTCAGGTCTTAAACAGTTTTATTCATTTTCTTAACTTTGTGTTTTTTTGGATTTTTAAAAGTGATTTATTTGTTCATTTCTTCACACCATTTGTGTTTTCCTGTATTTCTTTAAGGGATTTATTAATTTCCTCTTTGAGGATGCCCATTATTTTTATACAGGATTTTTATTGTGCATTAACTCTGTTGGAATATTCGGGGCCTACTCTGGTAGGATAGCTGGGCTCTATAGTGGAGACATATTTACCTAGCTGTTATTGATTGTGTTTTTTTTTTTTTTTTTTTGAGACAGGGTTTCTCTGTGTAGCTTTGGAGCCTAACCTGGCACTTGCTCTGGAGACCAGGCTGGCCTCAAACTCACAGGGATCCAACTGCCTCTGTGCCTCCCGTGTGCTGGTATTAAAGGCGTGAGACATCAATGCTCGGCTTATTGATTGTGTTTTTATGGTGGCGTCTAATCATCCACAACTGGAATGAATATAAGTCTAGTTGTATAGGCAAAAGATAACCGTACACAGGACATGGGTATTGTTGGTTAACTTTATTGAGGGGAAATCACATACATGAGAAACTGATAGCCCAGGTTAGCGCTCCAAGGATCCAGTCTCAGCAGCTCTCCAAGACCCAACCAGAACCCAAAGAGAGGAGGAGCACCCCTCTCCTCAGGCCTTTATCCCACCAGCCCAGTATGCACCAGCAGCCACGCCAAAATGGGTGTGGTTACTGAGACAGGTACATAGAGATCTTTCCCTACATAGGTACTGTTGTCTGGATTTGTTTTTGTTTTGGTATGTGTTTTGCTCCTTGGTTTCTGTGTCTTCTCTAGATTTTGCCAGACTGTGATGGCTGTTTGTTGCCTGGTAGGAAATATTATGGCCCTGATATGTTTGGCCAATGGCACTTCCCAGTAAAATGTATTTCTGATCAATGGGAGCTGACACTTAGGAATACTGTGTCTTCTCTAGATTTTGCCAGACTGTGATGGCTGTTTGTTGCCTGGTAGGAAATTTTATGGCCCTGATATGGTTTGGCTAATGTCACTTCCCAGTAAAATGTATTTCTGATCAATGGGAGTTGACACGTAGGAATGTAGATAGGCTGATAGTCTGAGGGAGTTCACAGAAGGGAGGAGATCAGAGTATTCAACAGGATCTGCTAACTTAGTTTCCTTGAAACGAAGGGAGGGACAGAGAAGAAAGTCACCCCAGAAGGTCTGCTCTAGCACTGGGGGTGAAACTGGTGAACTGGATCTAGGAGAACTGAAGGCCACTACAAAGAACAGAGGAAAAAGGTAAATCTATAGACAGGCAACCTGCTTCCTTGGCAGAATTAGCCTGTGTGATATCGTGGGGTGCCTATTGGAATTGGGGGGCTGGGATAAAGCAACAAGTGGGGAAAGGAGACTTGGGGCGGGGGTCTGTGGGATCCACAGGAGATGTAGGCAGAGGGGGAAGGAAGCCTGCAGCAGGTCTTCTGTTGCAGAGACAGGGATGAGACTAGGAAATTGGGTTTGAAGGAGAGGAGGGAGTGTTGAAGGTCTTCAGTTAGCTTTCCTGTTTCCCTGGCTGCTCAGCTGGTGTGTTCACAGGGAATGAATGCCTGCTGGTTAAGGCTGGGAGACTGGGATGAGGTGGTGGGAAGAAGGTTGGAGGGGAGGATCTTTGAGATATAAAGGCAATGGGATCAGGGGGGAAATGGAGACCACAGCCAGTGCTCTGCTAGACTTGGGGATGAGGCTGGAGTACTGGAACCCAGGAAGAAGGGAAGTCGATCTGCAGTCAGTCTAGCACAAAGGAATATGCTTTCTTCTCTACACCTCATGGAATTTTTCTAATAGTGGCCATGACACTCAGACACAAAGTAAGTCTCTACAGATACAAGAAAATTGTAGTAACTCCCTCCATCCTGTCAGACCACCATGGATTAAAGCTGGATATCAACAACAAGAAAGTTTACTAATTCATGGAAACTGAGCCACTCTTTTCTGAATAAAAAAAAAATGAGTCAACACAGAAATAAATTAAAGACTTTCTAGAACTCAATGAAAATGAAAATGAATACACAATATACCCAAACCTAAGGAATGCAATATAATCAGTCCTAAGAGGCAAATTCATAATGCTAAGTGCCTACATAAAAATAAATATAAGAGACATCTAATACTAGCAACTTCACAACTCACCTGAAAATTCTACAACAGAAAAAAACATAATCATACTCAAGAGGAGTAAGTGCCAAAAAATAATCATACTCATGGCTGAAATGAATAAAATAGAAACAAAGATAAAAACACAAAGAATCGATGAAACAAAGAGTTAGCTCTTTAAGAAACCAACAAGATTGACAAACCCTCATCCAAACTAGCTAAAAAGCTGAAAGAGTGGATATCCAAATTAGTAAACTCAAAAATGAAAAGGACATTACAACAGACAAGACCAAGGAAATCTACCAATTTCCCTTATGAACATAGATGCAAAATTACATTTAAAATACTTGCAAATTAAATCCAAGAACACAACAAAAAATTTATCAGTGATGATCAAGTAGGTTTCATTCAAGTGTTGCAGGGATGGTCCATTATATGAAAATAAATAACAGCAATTCACCATATAAACAAACTAAAACATAAAAAACATATGGTCATCTCATTATAGCAGAAAAGGCCTCTGGCAAAATCCAATACCCCTTCATGAAAAAATTTATGGAGACATTAGGGATACAAAGAACATACCCAATCATAACAAAGGCAGTTTACAGTAAGCCCACAACCAACATCAGCTGCTGAGAGCTGCCATGGGAGTATACAGCAGGTGACAATTAGTGTTCAGCAGATCGACCCATATGAGGCAAAATTCCCTTGTGGGGAGCCCACCTGGCAAGGAAGTGGGGAACCAGTTGCTCCTGTCTGTAATTTCTCTCATGAGTCACTTTATTACTTCCCTAAGAATTTCATTTCTTCCTTACTAACATCTCTGGGTGTCTTCCCACTGCTTGTGTGTTTATCTTGTGAAAATATTACATCAGTTGGTCACAAATATAGCTGTGGATACTAAGAAGGATAATTTCTACTATCTGTATAATTTTTAAGAATAGAAATAATATTAGGATATTTTACATTACTCACACAGACATGAGAGTCTCAGTCACAAAGACAGACTTAGACCCAGACAGCTAACTTTAGACTTCAGAGAAAATTCAAAACAAGATGGTTGGCCCTGGAGACAAATACATGAGGTCATTTTCCCAGGTGTGTAAAGGGAGATTTTCTCATCTAGTCTGGTGTGGTGATATATTATTTATGATTTATTAAGGCTTGCCTGAGGATTCAGAAAGCAAAATCAGCTACAAGCTATAGAGGTCAGGAGGTGTTGGCACACACCTTTAATCCCAGTACTCAAGAGATAAAGGCAGACAGATCTCTGTTAGTTCAAGGCCATCCAAGGATACAGTCTAAAAGAGAAACAATGGCTAGGAAAACCTGTAGGGAGAAACCCTATTGAAGAGGTATAGGTTTTCAAATTATGACCTGATGATTCTCTGGATTTCCCCAGTGTCTGTTGTTATGTCCCTTTTTCATTTCCGATTTTGTTAATTTGCATGTTCTCTCTCTGCCTGTTGGTTAGGTTGGCTAAAGTTTTGTCTGTCTTGTTGATATTCCTAAAGAACCAACTTTTTGTTTCTTGATTCTTTATATTGTTTTCTTTGTTTCTACTTTATTGATTTCAGCTCTCAATTTGATTATTTCCTGGAATTGACTCCTCCTGGGTGAGTTTGCTTCTTTTTGTTCTAGAGCTTTCAGGTGTTCTGTTTATTCTCTAGTGTGGCTATTCTCCAGTTTCTTCATGTGGGCACTTAGTGCTATGAACTTTCCTCTTAGAACTGCTTTCAGTGTGTTCCATAGGTTTGGGTATGTTATACCTTCATTTTCATTGAATTCTAAGTAGTCTTTGGTTTCTTTCTTTCTTTCTTCCTTTACCCAGGAGTGATGCAATTGAGCATTGTTCCATTTCCATGAGTTTGTGGGGTTTCTGCAATTTGTGTTGTTGTTGAATTCTAATTTTAAGCCATGGTGGTCCGATAAGATACAGGGGGTTATTCCAATTTTTTTTGCATCTGTTTTGGTTTGCTTTATTGCTGAGTATGTGGTCCATTTTAGAGAAGGTTCCATGTGGTGCTGATAAGAAGGTATATTCTTTTGTGTTTGGGTGGAATGGTCTATAGATCTCTGTTAAAACCAATTGGGTCATAACTTCTGTTATTTCTTTTGTTTCTTTTTTTTAAGTTTCTGTCTGGTAGTCCTGTCCAATGGTGAGAGTGGGGTGTTGAAGTCTCCCACTATAAATTTTATAAACTAACCCATTTCTATTAATCTGCATATCATCCTGTGACCTTGGCTTACTGGTGATGCCATGTCATCTTGACCCTAGGAACTCTATGGTATCTTTTCAATCCCCATCTACTACCTCTCTCTATCCTTGTTCAGATTTCCCTCTAGCTTTACACTGTTAAGCCACTAGCTGAAACAGCTTTATTCATCAACCAATAAGAGAAACACAGA